ATCATCCTGTTTTCAGTCTCCCCAGGGCTGGGATTACAGGCGTGCTCCACCACACCAGGACTCTGTGGCCAGCTCAACAGGCCTGAGGACAGGGCCAGTGCATGGCATGTGGTGCCAGGGATTGATCCTCAGTCCCTGCACTCGCCTATACAGGAACTTAGTCTGCTGAGTTCTCTCGCTGGCCCTAGAATTTCAAATGTTAAGTCAACTTTGCATTCCTGAAATAAATCTCGGTTGCTCATGGGATATATTCTTTTTCAATGTTATGGGAGTTACTTTACTGATGTTTTTAGAAGATTGTTTTAATCTATATTCATAAGAGATGTCTTTCTCTACTTTTGGCATCAATATGATACTGTATTCTTAGAATAAATTATGACATGTTCCTCCTCTTCTGTATTTTTTTAAAAAGACAGATAATAGTTGGTATTACTTCTTAAGATGTTTTATGAAACTTGATCATGAAGGCACCATGGCTTCACTTTTCTTTGTGGGAAGTTTTGAAACTGTAATTTAATATCTGTATTTGCTTTGGGACTAAAAGTTTTTATTCCTTCTTGAGGCATTTTTGGCAGTTTGTGTCTTTCTTGGAATTTATTTCATTTTGTTGCTTCTTTGTTGGCATGCTTTGCCCATATTACTCTTTTATCCTTTTTACTGTTGTACACTGCCAAAAATCCACCCCACCCCACTAAGGCAGACTCTTCCCTCCTACCTTTGCTGCACCAATCCCCTCTCAATGCCCCAGAGCAGCTGGCTCAGAACTCAGTAAGGAGGGACTTCTGGTTCATGGGGTACAGGATGCAACCAAGATGAAATCTAGCCAAGGCTCAGCAAAGGAATGGGCACCCCAGAATCTGCCCACCAATCCTATAGTTACAGTGCCTCTTGTTCCTCATTTGGGTGCCTTATTTGTCATGCCTGTCCTTCTGAGACCATGAGGATGGAACTGGCCCCTGAGCTAAATAAATCTTGCTCTCCAGAGACCTCACAGCAAGGCCCTGGGCAGGACACCTTTTCCACAGGAGCTGAACCTATTGTGAAAACCCGCTTCTCGGATCTGGCAGATGTAATGAGGTCAGGGCTAAGGCCTCCTCCCTGGGGAGGCCTGAGGTGCTGGAACTTCAGGGCCAAGGAGGCCCATGTCAGGGCCTGAGATATGGCTGCATTCCCAGGATACCAACTGGTGAGTGGAGCCCAGGAAGAAAAACAGGCTAGAGAAGTCCCCCTCTTTCTCATCAGAGGTGAATCCTGGCTTCCATGGTCTCCCCATAGGAGAGGCTCCTCTGAGGCTCAGGGTGCCTCTGGGTTCCAAGTCCTCAGGAAGAGCACTGGGACTGGAAGCTGCCAGTATTGTGAGGCACACTTGCCCCCAGCAGATCATCACCAGTGGCCTGATGTCTCTTAAAGACCTTGGAAGCTTTGGGAGCAAAGTAGGTGTCATTGATGACCGATCATTTGCACTCATGACTATCTCAGCTCTGGGGCCTGCACACTCCTCTCTTTGCCTGGGAGCTCAAGAGGCTGTTCTCCACCAGCTGCAGGAAAAAATGGGCACTTGCTAGTGTGCACCAGAAATGAAGAGGGCAACCAGGGTAGGGTTAAAGGCACTGGGGCAGGAGACAGGCTCTGCAAGTTCACCCATCTTGGCTTCAGAGACAGAGGCTGAGGCCCAGGACCACCGGACCAGGCCTCCTTCCAGCTCTGTACTCTCAGCCCTCTTCACTCCCTGGTTGCCTCCCTTCCTGTCACCATGTGCATCTCCCATCTGGGTGGAGCCCCACTCCAGAAGACAGCAATGTCCAGCTGGGTAGGCATCACATGGGCCTGGTATAGGAGTCACCATCCTCATCTTAATGATCTACCCGGAGTCCTTCCTGTCCCTGTTTTCCTGATGTCTCTCCTTCGTATCTGACTGGTGTCCTTCTCTCACTTGTCTTCCTCATCCCTCAACCTCTCCTCTTGTATTTGATGCCCCTCTACCTCATCTGCCTGTTGCCCCACCCCATTCCTGAACTTTGTCTGGTCATCCTGGTATCCTTCCAACTCTTGCTCACCTAGTGTCCCTCCCAAGGGCCAATGTGTGCAGGGATGGGGAGGTGTGCCAGGAGACATTTGCTGTCACTGTGTGGATCCCAAATCCCATTGGCTACAATGGTACCATCCACCCACCATGCAACTCAGGTGCATCCCCAGAGTCCCTTACTCATTTCAGCTACCTCATAATATGTCACACTCGGTTGCTCATGGGGTCCTATTCCTGCAAACTTTACCGCAGGTCCTGCTCCACATTTATGATTGGTTGCCCCTGGGCCAGGGACCAAAACGCTGGCCTGTAATTGCTACAGATTAGTTTCCGTCCACTACCCTCACCCTCCATTTTCAGCTGATCCAGCTCTGTGCTCACCATGCTTTGTCACCTCTGTCTTGGTACAACACTCTCTCCTTGAGTTCTGACAGCCTCCAGGACAGAATAGCAGGCACTAGGCATCAACCCCAGTGCTACATTGGCACTCTGAATTTCTTTGAGTCCTCATTGTTCATGTTGATTGTTGGTGTTATCCATTATGAACAGGATTTTTTTCCCCCACAATGCATGTGGTGATCCTCAGTGTAATGGTATTTGCCGATGGGTCTTTGGGTGGTGTAGTGGTTGATACAGTGTGTCAACTTGACTAGATTGGCTGCAGGTTTCACACTCTGGGCCATGGGGGCCAGCCCTGCAGGGCCAGGAGAGCCCACCCTAGGGCAGGGAGGACATGCCCCAAAGTGACTCAGCACAAAAAGAAGATATATAAAGAGAAAGGCTTTTGACACACCTTACCCCCAGCCCCCCAATCCCCTCAGCTTCCCCCCTTCTCTCCCTCACACACCCCCCACTCCTCTCACTTCCTTGGAGAAGTCCTCATTTTGGTCCCGCCACTTTGCAGCTGTGCCACTTTGGCCACTTTGGAGGAGTTCCGATCTTTGCGGTGGAGCACGCATCTTTGTAGTCAACATAAAAAAAAAGTCTTGATAGAAACCAGAGCTGCTGCTTCTCCTCAGCTCTTTATTGTTTTCTGCCACCATAAACTGCCATTTGCCTTAGAGTCAACAAAATATAAATTAAAAGGGCCGACCAGATAGCTCATCAGGCTAAAGTGCCTGCTTCAGCAGAGCACAGCAGCCCGGAATCAATCCCCAGCATGCGGTGCCGGCCTTGCCCCCAGGGCACGCTGAGACAGCGATTGAGACTGGGCGTCGTGGCCTGCGCCTGTAATCCCAGTGCTTGGGAGGCTGAAAACAGGAGGATCACTAGGAGTCCGATCTATGTAGTGTAGACCCGGTAGACCCTGCCCTAAATTCATTTATATATCTATATCTATAGCTCCTCTACAAACTGTGAGCAAAATAAACCTTTTATTTTTTCGTTTTAGGTGTTGATATTTTGTCCCAAGGATGAGCAAAAAATAACCAAGACAAAATTTAGTACTGGGAATGGGGCTGTTGCTGTGGCTAAACTTGACCATGTAGATTACGAATTTTTTAGAAATAGCTTATGAAAAGAGATTTTTAAAAAGGGGGGGGGGTTCAAAGGGGTGGCCTGCTAGTAAAGAGCTGGAATACCTTCGACTCTTCTGTAGGGGAGATTCTGCCCAGAGCTCAGACCAGAAGGCTGATAAAAAGCCTACCTGTAAAGACCAGGCTTGCAAGGTTTCTGCCGGGAAGAAAGACTGTGTTGGTTGTTAGACTGCAGATGATTTGTGTTATGGCTTGGCGAAAAGTTTGTCTACATTTTGCTCCTGTTCAGAGACTGTCTGAGACTGAGATTAAGCACAGTGGACTAGTTAATCTTAAAAAAAAAAAAAAAATCAAAGCAGCCAAATATTGGGACAGTGGCATAGTTGTTGTTGGAGGCTTTTATCAGAGTTATGTTAAAAATAAAAGACGGGGGGGGGGGAACTACCCACTCTGCCCCTCCCCCATCCCTCTCTCAGGACAGGAGCTTTCTTTCTCTCAATAAATATATTCTGCTCATAACCTCCATTTGTTTCTAAAATTCATTCTTTGGTTTTAGAGAACACGAACTCTTGTAGGTCAGGCCCAGAGATCGTTTTTCCCTATGTCATTTGGAGGTTCCCTATACGGTTTGGAGGTCACCCACCTGAAACCAGTTTTTCTCCCTATATCACTACAGCCATCACATTGGTGTCTGCACACACTTTGGTAAAGTCCTTGAATGTCTGCTCCTCAAGTGAGGACAAGGCCCACAGCCCACCATACAGGTGTCTTCTTCCGGGAGACCTCAGGATGCTTCCCACACTGTTTCCTGTTCCTGGCCCCTCTGCAGTGGGAAGACCTGCTAAATCCTTCCACCCCCACCCTATGTGGCCTGCTGGAGGGCTCAGGCAGCAGAGCCTGGTTTCCCTCTCCTGGCAGCATCTGGGATTCAAGGTCTCTAACATAGCTTCCATGGCCAGAGCCAGAGCTCAGCCACTCCACCTGGCTGAACCCTTGGCCCTGTGGACAAGTTAAAATGCAAACGTGGGTATATGGAGAATTTGAACCAGCTCTCCTGGACAAGAGCTGGTGAGACAATGGCCGGCCAACCACACTTGGGAGGAGGTATTTAGACATTTCTGTGCTGCCAACAGTTGGATCTAAAATACACAAAGCAGTCCTAAAACTCAACAGTAAGGAAACAGAGAACTCTGCTAGTCTGGGCCAGAGGGTGTGACAGACAGCTCAGCAAAGAGGACCCATAATGGCAAAGGAGCTCCTGAGGGCCATCTGTCACTGAGCGTCGAGTCAGGGACACCACTGCAGGTGCATGGTATCAGGCTGCAGTCACAGCCCAACTGTGGAGGACCACCTGTGCAGCTCTCCTTGAAAGAAGAGCGACTATCTCCATTTTGACTGAGCCTGACCCTTCCTCGTATTGTTATGGACAGAGTTGGCTAGGACTTCTGTTTATCCAACAATTGGTGCTCAACGTGGCCAGAACACATGACCTACTCAACATGACGACCACTTACCAGAATCACGTGCAGGTGACCCACTGGACCTTGTGTGACCAATTTAAAGAAAATCAAGAGATATTATGATCATCAGAGCTGTTCCCATGGCCAGAATCCAGCCCATATACACAACACATCAAGCTCTCTCCTGAGACCTCAAGCAACGAACCTGAGAGCACATCCTCCATCTTCCTGGAAAGGCCTGCAGCAGACCATTCGTGAGGCTTGCCACCTAGTCAACTGCCAGAGTTTGGTTCAATCACCTGATAATATCCTCTTTATAATGCATAATCCTATAGCAGCTTCTCTGGGTACTCCTTTGGTTCAAGAAGTGTATTGGGCCTACATACCTAATGCATCCTGGCTTAGACCTCTTACATGGATGGACAGGCCCCCAGAGGTTTTCCATTCTATAAAGAGTTATACCCCTATATGTATTATTCTGCCTGGCCTACAAATTTCAATGCATTTACAAGAACAGGCTAAGCTTAATATTACATATCATGGGCTGGTGAGATGGCTCAGTGGTCTAAAGCACCTACTTAGAACAAGCTAAGCTAAGCAAAAGCACAGACTGCGGTTCAATCCCCAGCACCACATGCCAGCCAGCCCTGCCCCCTGGTGGACTGAACTGGCCACACACACACTAAAAATA